GTGTGCAAAGGTAAAAAATAAATAATAGTATAATATAATAATTAATATAAATAATAATAATAATAAAAAATATAATATATATAAATATATATAATTATATATTTATTATTATTATAATTATTAATAAATATAATATATATAAATATATATAATTATATGTTTATTATTATATTTATTATTATATTAATAATATATAAATATATATAATTATATGTTTATTATTATATTTATTATTATATTAATAATATATAAATATAATATATATAAATATATATAATTATATATTTATTATTACATTTATTATTATATTAATTATATATAAATATAATATATATAATATATATAAAATATAAAGGTATATAAAAAGTTTGCCATACCAACTAATTGCAACTGAAGAAAGATCTTTTAAACCTCATCTAGTCAACCATTTCCTCCAACATTTCGAAAACGAACCGGGAGCCAAGCAACCTGTGCGAGGGAGGGAATCGATCGGTCGTTCTTTGAGATTCCGTCTGCGATCTGGCCGTTCGTTTTCGTTTTCTGGAATGCGATCACGGGTACCGTATACTAAGGATGCCGACGTAACGGCGACCGCAGCGCGTTGCCTTTAAATCGTTAACGTCGCAGGTAACTTTCACAGGGCGACTCAATTGTTACCGACAGGACTGTTCCCATTCGACTCGCTCACGGAGCCCGTCCACCTTCGCGAATCCCGGCAACTTTCTGTTTACCTCGTAACTTTCGACGAAGTTCAGAATCGTGTATAAGTTCAGTGTTTTCCCCTTCGCTGTCGCGACGATCTTGCTTTATCAGAGATCGCGTCGTCGGATCGGATTCTTGTTGACTCTGGAACTATCGGTGTCCAGTGTATGCGCTTCGTTTTGTCATTGATTTTCTTCATTTTTAAACGGCCGGTATCACTGTTCCTCCCTTAACGGTCGAGTTTTCCTCTTTGCTCTTTACCCTCGACTTTTCTCACTTTCTCTCTCATCTTTATCCCTTCGCTCAACTTCGCTCCGCAGAACCGTTTACTTTCTCCCGACGCTTTTTATCGCGTCGAAGTTCCCTCCTTCAAAACTCGGCTGTATTTTCTTTACCCACTTCCAGCCCAATATTTGCATAATACATCAACAAGGATAATTTCCAATTGCGAAGATTCGTCGAACGTGGCAGTTTTATTTTCACGTTCACGATGTTCGCATAATAAATCTGAATTCCCGATGATGCGTTGTACTTTTAACATCTCTCGTCTTCGATATGTTCGAATAGGAGATTGCCGAAAATAATATTTAATCGCGAAGATTCTCTCAATTATCTTATTTCTAATTTGTCTACCAGATTTCTAAACTTCGTTCTTGATATTGCAAAATTTCGTAATAAATGTAAAAAAATATGTAATATTATGTATATGATTAATAATTATTAATATTATTATTATGTTAGTCACGATTATTTAGTATTTATTTAGACTTTAAATAATACTAAATAATCGTGACTGACATAATAATAATAATAATAACAATAATAATATTAATAATTATTAATAATATACAGAATATTATATATAATACAATAATATAATATAATAATATATTATTATATATTATTATATTATATTATATTATATTATATTATTATTATTATTATTATTATATATATCCGCACGAAAACGGAACTTGTCCTCGGTAGACAATAAACTCAATTAAATTATTTATCGATCGATAAAGCGTTAACAATTTCTCGAATTTGAATGCTAGCGCCTTATATCTGACAATTGTTCTAATGTCAAGATTTCCGACACGGCAACAGCGATCCTCGTCCTTGAACGTCCCTGATCATCTTCGTTTCAATGCTCCCCTCCCCCCGATCCAGGAGATTATTTGCACAAGAGGACGCAACA